GCATATTCATTGCAGAAAAAGTACTAAATGGATAAGAGGCGCTATTTAGCACGTTTTAAAGACCAAATCCTTTTAGCACGCTGTTGATAGATCAGTTTGGACATTTTTTAGCGTGCGCAGTGAAATAGCTCACGTTTTTATACACGCAAACCTTTGATAGATCCTGCCCTCTGTGTATGCAAAATGACAGTAAAAGTTTTCTAAGTCTAATCTTTTAATTTTCACTATTTTATAATTTGCCTGTACCCGGTCTCAGTTTTTGTTTTTTTGTTTTGTTTTATTGGGACTGTGTCTCAGTTTACATGGACTGTGCGTTTTCAGGTGAATCCCAGCCTTTTGCCTCCATGTGAGCAGTACTACAGAAATCAGGGCTATGACTTCAAAGTCTCCAATGGAAAGGTGGTTTTGGTCCGGAAGCCACGTCGTCTCAGCCGACAAAGGCGTCAGGTGAGAATCATTTCCCGTTTGTGCCTCTCAAAGGATTCTTTTATTCTGCAATAAACCAGATCTTGGTTTCCTCTGCACATTTTTGGTCCTGAAGCAGAACATCAACCGTCTGAATCGGAGGCCCTTGCAGATCCTCCCCCACCAAGGGTCACCTGAGCAGTCTGGAACTGGTCTGGGATTAGTCAGAGTCACAGAGGGGGTGGGGCTTACATTCACAGTGGACAACCTTCCAACATCGATGGAATATCATCTGGTGATCCGCTATGAGTCTGAGGTGAGAGAAACCTCAGCATCCCGGTTGGAATTTGTATTGAGAAAAGAGTTCATGCTGACATCTGACTCAAACAAAAAAAAAAAAAAAAAAACATGGAAATCATCAATCATAATTCAGATTTTTCTTGTTGGGTTTTCCTTTATTCAGATGTCAGCACTGTAATATAAGTAACTTACATTTATCAGTTATTTAAAGGAGAACTATAGCAGGTGATTTTTGTAACTTCTTATGTGGTTTGAAGAGCAATCACGTCTTTCTCTGCAGTCTGTCTCTGATTGGCTGGCTACTGTACGGATTATTAAGCTATCCCCAGGTGATGAAGCCTGCAGTGATACCCCAACCGGAAGTCTAACACTGATTCTTCCAAGAAACTCCAGGTAAGTCGATAAATATGAGGTAATATACCTTGGAGGATATATGACTGCTGACCACTTTCTGCACAGCATCCTGTTGAAACATAGCAGGACAGAAACTGTTGTATTCAAGTATACTTCAGTTTAGTGTCCTCCACACTGATTGGCTGACTCATCATATGTATGAACAAGTGTTTCTTCTCAATATATTAACCTCTTTCTGTTTTTCCCCAAAATGCCCACATATATTTTTGAGGTTTTTCATTTTGAGTCACAAACAGACAAAAAAATCTAAATATCAATCCATAATTTACATCGTCTGACCACATTTCTTTTTTATTACTCTAGCCAAACTCTACCCAGACCAGTCAAAGTAGGTACTTGTTAAACAGAACCTGTCTGATAACACAAAGCGGGGCTAAAGATCTAATAAGGTGCCATAAAATAACAATTAGGGTCATTAAAGACTAGATGGAAAACAAGTTTCCAGTATCTGAAAGTCTGCAAATATTGCACCAATGGTTAATCTAGAGGCTCATAAATGAAACGCAGCATCTGAAGCCCTTCCCAGTAAAGGACAGTGTTCATGATCCAATACCAGGAGATAACAAAAGAGCTTAAAGGCTAAAACCAATGCTGACCGAAATATCACAAAAACATCTAGACGATGTGGAAGATTTTAAGGGAGATATTGCATGTACTAACAAGAAAAATGTAAAAGGTGTAATCTCCCCGAGGAGTCAAATGAGATGAAGGTAACCAGGAGACTGAGGCTCTTACCAAACACCTCAGATTGTAGCTCTCTGTTCCTATCCCTTCACCTTTAGCAATCTCAACAGTAAAAACTCTATACATGGAAGAGAAGAAGCTCCAGACTTCTTATGGATGGATTTATGACAGACACACACAAAGATGGTGCTGGCGAAATTGGGACTACATTTTTCCTGGAAAAGAACTACAAAAAAACAAAAGTTAAACAAATGTTGCAAACGGCTTAAAGGTATAGCGTAGGATTTCGACAATTTTTTGAAAAGACCCACCATCTCCACTTTAAAAAGAAATACACATGCACAACCTTGTCCTGCTCCCGAGATGGAACGTCTATTAAACGTGTGTGTGAGCGTGCACAAGCCCATTTCTCCTCGTGCATGCTCTGTTTAAAATTTGCTGTTTGCATCACTCATACAAGCTTACTTTCCAAAACAAGATTTGCAATTTTTTATTTTATGTCAGACTCACCACCAGTAAGTGAAAAAGCGGACGAGCACGTAGGACGGCCTTACATAAAAATATCACTAGAATGATTTACAATTAGGACGACCACTTATTTTGATGATCCACCTGTAAAAAGAACATCCTCCACTATAACTTTAAGATCTCCACCATAAATCCCAAAACATACTGTACAAAGGTGTGTGCATTAGCAGGTGTCACACAGAGTACATGTGAAGAAGTAATGTATTTTTGTTAAACTTTGTAAGGGTGGGCTGAGCCTATTCACCCTGTCATGACAAGGATTATGAACAACCATAAAGGTCCTTACAATGGATATGAATGTCAGTTGGTCCCAAAGCTAATTAAACTAGTGTTGGGGAGCCTCCTCACCTCCACTTTGCATTAAGTGTCCCTACTGATTCCAATGAGCTTCAGGCAGCTGGTGAAAACAAATATAAAATACACCACAGGAAAGCTAGAGACAATCATATGAAAAACAGATACACAAAAAGCCTTCAATGAAAAAGACTCTGCTGAGTAGAAACAACTGATCACGCTCCCTTTGCTGCACTGTTCGGTCCACAGCTTCCTGACTGACACTGGAATCTGTGTCCTCTCTGATCTTGGTGTCTTTCCTGGATATATCCGTTTCCTCAGTGCATTCTAAGTATTTATTATTCCCAGTTATTTTCTCTTTGCACCCAGCAGGGAGCATTGGAAAAATCCACTCATGTTATTTTCTTTGGTAGATTGATGAGTTTTAGATAAATAAACCTAAAACAATAAGAAGTTACATAAAATAAATGTATTTTCTTGCTTCAGCAAACAACTTCAAAAAAATATTACATACTCTATGTAACCTAAATATGCATATGTGAATAATTTAATCAATCTTAATGTAAGAAATATTTTTCAAAAAGTTTTTTGGTAGGAAAATGTAAAATTAAGCAAGCAAATTCCCCGTCCTATTGATAATTTACCAAAAGAAGCAAAGACAGTGCAACTTTATTTATAAAGCACTTTTCAAAGTGGAGTCACTGACCCATGAGCTTAACAAAACAGATGAAAGATTTAAATAAATAAAACATTCAAATACAGAACAAATAAGATAACGATAAAGTAAAAATGAATAATACAAAGTATCAACCTTAAATACACCATTAATGATAAGAAAAGGGGGAAAACATCTTAACAATTTTTGTTTCATAAGCCAAAGAGAACCACTAGGTTTAAGAGAAGATTTAACATTTAAAATTCAAAAAATTACATTAAAGAGGCTTTTCTATTTAACAGCATCAACTTTTTAATTGTTTGAAAGCTGGAATAGGAAAATACCTAATTGTGAAATACAAGTTAATCAAAGCTACCAAAGGGATCTTTTTGGCTGCCAACCAAGATGGCTGATACGACATTGCCCTCTTGTGTGCAAATAATCTAACTACTACTAGGTTTACTGCCTACGGTAGTTTTTTCTTTGAAAAATGACATTTCTCACTTAGTCACTGTCATGTTCATTTTACACTCTTGTTTTTTTTTTCTAGATTGGGAATTCTGGACTCCCGGCTGTGTCTTAATGCTGGAGGTCGTTACAATATGGAGATTTTCTTTGACCGGGAGCAAATTCTAGACAACTCTCCCTTGTTGGTTGATTCGGTGAGAATCCTTTGTCTACAAGCATATTTTTACTCAAAAATAAAGTAGCTGTAGATAGTTATATTTGGGTATATACAACAACAGTAGTATTCAAAAATAAAAGTTTATGGGAATGTAGATAACAATACATCTCTTGTTGTGTTAATGTAAAATAATGCATTAATACATTTTGTTTTATTTTATAAACAAATGGTTTTTATATGCTCTCCCTGAAATCAGAATTCCTGTGCAGTCTCGACAAGTCAGAAATGTTCAATTCATGATTTTCCTGAACAAGCATGGGAAAAAAAGCATAGAAGAGGGTGTACAAATGTGGAGTCTTGAGGTTACACTCTGTCTATTAGTCAAAGATAGACAGCCTGAATTTATAAATAGTTATGCACTGATTCAATTAATAACAATACATTAATAACAATAATAACATCTACATATGATTAGAAAGTTTAAAATATTAGACCACACCCTCTAATGAGTTTGTTTTTACTTACCAATCTGAAATACGTGTAATCTTCTAAACATATTTAATACCCCAATAAATGTATTTATTGTTATTATTATTATTGTTTGTTTCAAGATTAAACCTGATTTTTTTTTTTTTTTTTTTGGAATAATAATTAAAGATTTTTTCCCCACTACTTTTTTGGAATCTGCACCGAGCAGGATCACCTTCAGACCAGGCCTATCAGTAGTTTTAAAAATGGATCTTATTTAGGCAGCAAAAACACCTGAAATACCTGAAAAAATGTGTTTTTCAACGCTACAAATAAGCTTTAAAGAATCTGTATTCATTGTAGAATAATTTTTTCCAGAAGCACCTTAATAAAGAGCTGACCTAATATGGAAACATACGAAGAAGAAAAAAAACCTGCCCATACAGCAGTTTCATGGACAATGTGCAGATAATAAAACAGAAGTGTTTTCTAGAGTCTATGGGTTTTTGACATGAGAATGAGGTCCACTGAAGCAGAAGAACTTTAAATGATACCTTGTACCTTTAGCTGGGATTTAGAAATACTGAAATTTCATAATCTGAGTAAAAGAACCTGAATCCTTACCTTTCTGATGTGTTTTGTTCTGTTTCTTGTTTTCTAGATGGGACTGATTCAGATTTTTGATTCGGTCCAAAACTTTTGTTCCCATAGTGACTTCGACTCTTTAAGTAACTTTCGCTGCGTAGGATTGGATGTCTATCTTGGTTCTCAGGAGTCGCTTCCTAAAATCTGCGAGGGACTAATCAAGAGTCTGTCAGCTCGCATCCACAACGGAGCTGTGGGTAAGATACTCACTGCAAGTCTACAGGCAATAACAGAAGTGAAAAGAATAAAAATAAAAATATGTTATAGCTGTTGGAACTATTGCTCAAAAGACCAAAAGTTAGCATACAGGCATCAAAAGACAGCATTCCAGTATTCACAGCTGCCTTGACAAACCTTTAATGGCGTTCCATGGGAGGCATGCACACCGATGGGAGTGGGAGTAATGGTTCCCCCTGGAGGTAATGGCCTAGTGATTAGAGAGCAAACTAGAAAGTCTGCAAAGGTTGCTAGTTCAAAATTCTTACTGTAATTTGGGAAGCAAGGCTCTTAAACCCAAAGTGCTTACTGCATGCCACTCTGTGTGGAAGCACCCACATCTCTTAATAGTCCACACCACATGCAAGACTATAAGGGGATATTTCCTATTCCATTCCATTTACTTATCAATAGCTACGTTTCGATGGACACGAATAATCCGATTGAGGGTCTGATAAGATCAAAGATACTTGATGTAAACATGTTAGATTGTAGATTCTAATTCAATTCAGTCGGATCAGAAAAAGAATTTTAAATATAGAGGTGATTTTTGCCGATTGGCATTCCGATTAGCATCCGTATGTCAGGCTCAGAACAAGAGGATCCCAGTCTTCGAGGGGGAGAGACAGTTAGGGTTAACAAAATGTTTATTTAAGATGGAACTGCGGAGGACAGCGTGGACATCTAAAGCAGCAACCTCTGCAGGGGGAGAATACAAGTTAGTGACCACGCCCATCTGGCGGAGGACCAAAATGAACGTGTGAGTTACTAATCTGGTCTTAAAATTCCATCAGCACCCAGAGGATGAGTTTTGTTCCAGCTGGTCGCTGCCAAAAAGATCAGAGAGTCCCAGATGCCAAAGTCCCAGAGCTTAGAGGACAGACAGAGCAGACGAAGGAAGGCAGGTGGTCGGAGGTCCATGGAGGTCCCAAAAAGAAATTCAGGACGGTGTCAGGAATCAGTCCCAAGTGCCGTACAAAGGCAGATATCAAGCAGGAGTTTGAGGACAGGTCAGGCAAACAGATCAGAACAGGGACAGGCAGGTTCAGAGGCCCAGAGGCAGAACGGGTCAGGATTGGGCAATCAGAAACTCTCAGGTTTGCTAGAGAAATCTCACCACAGGCTTGAATAATCTGGCACTGATGACTAGTTGAGGGTTAGTTAAATAGAGGCTTAAGCAGCTGGATCAGATAAAAGATAATGAGAACTGTGTGGAGCTAGGTAGGTGAATGAAATGAGTAATCAGGCCAGTCATCAGCGCCAAGATCATGACACAATGTACACATCCATTCGGATTTTTGGAGGAAAATAATCTCCACAGCAACGTCACTGGGATTTTTTTTTTTTTTTTCAAAATTAGATAGTTCTTAAAGTTTAAGTTATGTAACCATTGAATCACTTGGTTTATGTATAGTAAAGTAAAGTTTTAGTTAATATCCATGTAAAAATAAATATAGAATTTCTGATCAACTAATGTTTAGATTGGGTTGGGGAAATTCTGCACGTTAACATAGCTAATGAACTATGGTCTCACCTCACTTACCAGTTGTCTCAAACTCCAGTCCTCAGAGACATTTATCTTGCATCTAGCACTGTGTCTGCTTAAATACACTAGCCATTGGAAACAAATAGGTCCAAAAGCCCAGGTGAGCAGGAAAAAAGGGAGGTTTGTCCAAAGGTGTATCGAGTTACAAAGAGTATATTAGTGTAGATGTGTCTCTAAACAGATGAATCCTGTTGGAATCATTTCATTTTAAAAATAATGTATGCTACTGTCCCCCTAAGGTGCTTACACGCCTTAGGCTTTCCATCAGTTTATCTATCAGTATAAATCACCATAAAACAGGACTGTAGGTTAAACAGAATTTAATCAAAAATCGACAGTGGAGTTGTTTAGATGAAAGCCTTTACTACCGCCATGGGAAAAAGGAATGTTGAAAGAGCCCAGAGTAAGGGTTACAGCTGTTTCTTAGAGATCAGCGGGGACATCCTTCAAAAACAGTAAACATTACATGCATATTGTTTGTAGGGGACAAGTCATCATTGAGAGTTATCTGTAGGACTGTGAAATAGAATAGGCTCCAAGGTGTATCCACCTGTAGATGCTATACCCTGATAACTGACTGCTTGTCTCTATGTCACATCTGTGATGTGCACAATGTCAGTAAATAACCTGTTAATGTCCTAATAAATGTTTTCAACAGTTCAAGCAACCTGAAGATTTGCATAATCTGTAACTAAAGTGAAACCAGTTTAATGTTGTGTGTTTCCTGGTTTCAGCTTGCAGGTGTAACAGCATCGGTTCTCTTGGATCAGGATGCAGTAAGTTGGGTGGGTTCTGTGAATGCCAGCGCAGCGTGATTGGACGTTGTTGTGATGCCTGTGCACCATTGCACTTTGGATTTGGACCTGAAGGCTGTAAACGTGAGAAGGAATTTCTAGCTTGTTGATCCAGTCAGCCCTCCTCTCTACAGCTCCTCTTTAAAATAACGCTTCTTCTTGTTGCAGGCTGCGAATGTGATCCTCGAGGGTCCCTTTCGGAGGCGTGTGATGTGATCAGCGGTCAGTGTGATTGTCGCCCCCAGGTGACAGGTCAACGATGCGATCGATGCGAGTCTGGATTCTGGGGATTCCCCCTCTGTCAGCCTTGTGATTGCAATGACCTGTCAGAGACATGCGATGGAGAGACAGGAACGTGTCTAAACTGCAGAGAACACAGCACCGGGCCACACTGTAACAGGTTGGACTGAAGGTTCTCTTTCTGATTACAGAGTTTATCAGTTTTGCATCTCTCCTCTTTCAAACTAATTTTCTAAGCAGTTTGAGCTATTTTACTTTAAGTAAGAAAATCTCATTAAATGATGGTTTCATATGATCCTCTCATGTGGTTCTGACCCACCTGTGCTTCTTCTTTAGGTGTGTGGAGGGCTACTATGGTAACCCAGTCTCCAGGCAATCGTGTCAGCCCTGCCTGTGTCCTGACATCTTGAGCAGTGGACGATTCTTTGCCTCTTCCTGTCAGTACGACGAACAGTCCCTAAGTGTTAGCTGTTCCTGTAGAGAAGGGCATGCAGGTAGGATCTGGATATGTGTATCAGCTGGTCTGCAAATGCTCAGGTCCAAGCTTTACTTCCTTGTACCATTGTACCGAACCACTGTGCATGAATTCCTTTCTGATGGTAGATGGGGATTTTAATGAAGTATAAAAATGAATTAAAATGAAAATTTTTATACCTCATAGAAATTGTGATTCAATTATACTTTATTTCCTGTAGGTTTTTTCTGAAAATTCTTTGATGTTTGACTTCTCAGGTCCACAATGTGACAGGTGCAGTCCTGGTTTCTATGGAGACTTGACCTTACCTGGTGCAACCTGTAAAGTGTGCTCTTGCAACAACAACATCGACCCCAACAGTGGTGACGCCTGCGACACCAAAACTGGAGAATGTCTTCGCTGCCTTTACCACACCACAGGTCCACAGTGCCAATTCTGCAAACCTGGTTTCTATGGCAACGCCTTGCAACACAACTGCAAAGGTAAAACGGTCAACAAGTCTCATGTACATAGGAGGGTCAAATGGCCTTGATAGGCCAATATCACTACATATCTGAGTGTGCCACAGAATGGTCACACCATCAGGGATGGGTACCATGTTTGTCTCAAGTGGGCCACCTTGTCAGAGTTGTATCACGGTGTGTCCCAGGTGGGTTACCTGGTCAGAGTTGGCTCTGAAGTGGGCCTGAGATATGTGCCATAGTCAGGAGAGGCTCTCACGTGTGTCACTGGTTGGTCATATGGTCAATGGTGGGTTTCGGGTGGGTAACAAAGCATTGACTCATATCTAGCCCTTGAGCTTCAACTTTTTGGGCATCGGAAACACTAGATATGAAATGCAATGCAGTATTCTTGACTCACCAGTCATCCAGGTTATTCTAATTTAGTCTCTTGTTAGTTTAGTGGAAAATTGAAAAAATTAAACTGTTAAAAGATATTTTTTGGATTCATCAATAGAAAACATAAAATGAATGAGCATGTAGTAGAACAGTCTAAAAAGGACTAAATCTGAATTTATTCATCATCCAGAATGCTCCTGTGATCGTCGGGGGACCGAGCCAACTCTTTGTCCCTTGGAGAGTCCCTGCTTCTGCAATAGGGAGACAGGACAGTGTCCCTGCAGGACAGGGGTTGTGGGAGACCTCTGTGATGAATGTGAGGATGGTTTTTGGAACCTGGACGGAGCCTCGGGATGTCAACCCTGCAGCTGTGATCCTGCTAACTCGGTCTCCAATGTCTGTAACAAGGTAAAAGGAGCACTGATCTTCCTCAGGGTCTGATTGAAAGGGTTAAGTGTGTTGGCTAAAGCTCTGATATGAATTCAGGTGTCGGGACAGTGTCTTTGTCGTCCTGAGTTTGGAGGAAGACAGTGTGATGAATGTGGAGAAAATCACTTTGGGAATCCAGACCTGCAGTGTTTCTGTAAGTGAATGAACTCAACCTTGTTAAAGCTTTTAAAAGAAAAGAAAGTTGGTGATGTCAAGATAACAGTGCAGCAAAATTTAAGGTAAAATTTAACGTCTTGATCAAAATAAAAAAATGAAAAACTATGAAAGGAGGGATGCTTTTTATCTAACAAAAGGTAAACTTTTACTCTTTTTAATTTCATTTCTATTAAGTACAAATGTTTGTGCTTTTAAATAGCTCTAAGTGATGTAATTTCAAGAAAATTCCTTGAATTTTAGGGTTATATTTTCTCTGTAGGATAAAATGTATTCCACCAACTCCATTGGCCTCTATGTATCTCCTAAAAAGTAAACATGTTAAGAGCAGCGAGGTGGATTTTCAGAGAGCCTAAAGCATCTTAAGCAGAGAAGATGGTGGAAACAGAGAGAAAGGAAAATATTAAATTAACAATAAAAGAGAATAAAAAACATGCTACCTGCTCAACCATCCAGGGTTCACATTTTTTTCTGGCAAGGATTCTGAACATCAAGTTCAATCATATAAACACTACAGGCTTTTACAAAAAAGGACGATTTGCAGCTAACTGCAAAGAAACAAGGTGACTTTTCACATCTCAGGCTGAGGTGAAACATTAAAGGAGATAATGTATCAGTCTTCATGGCAATTCACTCTCACAACTGCCCCCTTCATTTGAATGATCACCATCCTACCTATCTATCGCTTTCAGAGCTGTGACGACAGGTTCTGCCCCTCTGGTGTGTTTGGTATTCTCCCCATTTTTTTCAACATTTTATGGATGTTTTGCCAAATCCATCCATCCATCCATTTAGCTCCAATTAGTCCATATCAGGGTCGTGATAGGGCCATGTGTATCAGGGTACCGCCTGTACAGGTCACCAGTCTGTCGGAGGGCAATACAGAGACACACAAAGACACAAAATCATGCACACATACTCAAACCTAAGGACAATTGAGAGAATCCAATTAACCTAACAATCATGTTTTTGGACTGTGGGAGAAATCTGGAGTATCCGAAGAGAACCCACGCATGCACAGGGAGAACATTCATGCAGAAAGACCCCGGGCTTGGAATCAGACCCGAAACCTTCTTGCTGCAAGGCAGCAAGGCTAAGCACTGCTCCACCTTGTAGCCCCTATGCCAAATCAAACAGATTTATAAAAGCAAAAAGTCAGAGTAAAATACTGACAAGTGACTACTCACATTGACAAATAGATCAAAAAGTTAAATGGTGAAGAAATTACTAAATCAAATCAAGATAACGTTGAGCATGTAAATATGGTACGATAAAACCTTTTGCTGCTATGTGAGGATTTAGTTTCAAATCTTCATGACACAAGTTTCTTAGTCTACCTCAAGCTGTGTGATCAGTTAGTTTCATTTTATATTGGTTTCTACTACATATTTGTTTTTTATTGCATATCAACCAATCAGAGTTCATAGAGGACGGTATCACAATTAGCAACAGGTAAAAAAAAACTGCAACTCCTTTTAAGGATTAAAGTTTATATTTGGTCTTTGCTCAATGGTGAGCTTAGTAACTAGCTTTAACACCTCTTGCCTGACTGTTTACACTGGGAGCTCTCTGAGAGGAATCTTTGTGAGTATGGGAGCAGGAATTAATAAACCTGTTGAGGCTAAAGACAATGAAGCACATGAAAACCTTTTGTCTTTATGGGTCAAGGCCTAAGTTTAACATCTGCATTAAGTTCATTATAAAGTCAGTCTATTGGCTTCTCAAAATATTGCCAGAATTAACGGTTTAATTTTGGACCAGAATCCCTAAAAACTGTTAGTTTTTTCATTTAGTATGTTAGATTATTGTTATAATCTATTTTACCACAACAAAACAATCAGAACCAAATAAATAGAGGTATTTTTTTCTGAATCCTAATAATGACTCACTTAGTTATATGTTTTAGATTTACCATTTAATTATACTTTTCATAATGTTAAAATTCCAACACATTCTTAGTTTAATGACATCTTTAACTAGGTGCTGTTTTTATGAAAAGTGTTTTTAAATTACTTAGCATATGAATGGTGCAATCCAAATGGTTTATTTAATGGAGTACTTTTTGCTCTTAGCTTGTGACTGTAACCTGGAGGGAACCGAGAGGCCATCATGTGACCCTGAAACCGGTGAGTGTATCTGCCGGATCGGCGTCACTGGAATCCTCTGTGACGAATGTGCTCCAGGTCACAGCTCAGAGTTTCCAGCCTGTGAGAGGTGCCATGAGTGCAGCTCTCTGTGGGCCGTAAACGTCACTGACGTCCAACGAGCTGCCCAAAGGATGAGAACCCTCATCCCTCTCCATGGCGACACTCAGGATTCAACACACAGTCGCTACTGGCAATGGATGCTGGAGATGCACTCCAGACTGGACCGCCTTGCTAACATGACGCGTCCTTTCCTCCCAAAGCTGGAAAATGTAGAGAAACTTTACATTAAGATTAGGTGAGTTCTGCATTCTATGTTTGCAGGAAGATCTTTCTACCAATAGGAAGACAAAATAAAATCTTTCTTCTGTTTGTTGGAGTCAATGTTGTTTGCAGAAAGTTTCAATTTTAAAGGACTTTTCTTCACAGGAGGCTGAAAGATACTGTAGACACCAACATCATTTTGATTGATCCATCTCTTCTCCTTAACACTGACATCGATAATATTTATTCAGAGTTTATGAAACTGCTTAAAAACTTGAAGGACCAACTCATCAAGGTGCCAAATGAGAAACAAACAGAGCAAGTGGAAGGTGAGATATGAAGATTGGGTTCATGTGCACACAAACATTAAGATTCAATCAGTTTGACCAAGCAGATCACATTTTCCTGACTTTATATATAATTTACAAATGTATAGACAAATAATTAATCTTTTTAAGTCAATATGTAAATGATAACCTGTTTGTCTTGTGTTTAAATGTATTGCAGAGATGCTAGAGGAGATCCAAAAGCTTCATAAAATCTTTATGTCAGACGAGAAGCGGCTGAGAAACTCCAGTAAAGCCGTGGAGGACTCTATGGATACTAGGCAGGAGTTAAAGCGCAAGCTTAGCATGTGCAAAGGCAGAGGACCCATGGCAGCACTGGAGAAGAAGGTCAAAGAGCTGAGTGTTCTCAAACTCAACCAGAAGGTGAAAAATATGCACACAACACTGCATGCAGCAGAAATTTGCACAGACCCTGTACTTAAACATTCAACACATCATGCTTTAGGAAATAAACCACCAAATGTTTTAGATCATGAAACTCTATATGCATTGTGACAAACAGCATGCAGCAGGACTTTGATATCTACATGCACTAGAGCAAGGACCACCACAAGCATTAGAACATATACCACAACATGAAAATTAATACAAACTAGAACCATTTAAAGTCTGACAGTTTTGTCATGATAAAAAAAAAAAACAACATAAATTTTTAGATGGGCTTATGAATAATGATGGAAACGTCTCCCAAAGCAAAAACCTGTAGCTCTTCTCAGATGTCTCACAGTTTGGTTTATAAAGCATTCTTTTCAACTCTCCTGATTTATGTGTTTTTTCAATGTTATTTCCTGCCAATCTCCCGATTTTCCAGTGAAGGAAAAAAGTAAGCTCTTTCCTTTTCGCCTTGATATATGTCAGAGTATCTGACAACAGGGTTTCACATACTGTAACATATCCCTCACAAAGCTTACTTTTCTGTAAACATGGATTTATCAACATTTGTGTAGCCTTGAACTACAGTACCTTTCGGTTTTGTCACATGGCTTCTATCAACCATTTAACTATATAAATATGCAGTATTTTCCAATGAAGAGGAGATTTTGTTTAATGTTTAACCCTAGAGTTCTCATTAGTGGTAATATATATGGACTTCATTGTTCCTCCTTAAGTCTTATAATTAATTAAAACAGGGTGGCATATGAGACTTTATATGATCTTCTGATTCCTCTGAAAAATGTGTTCCAATGCAGGTCTGTGGGCAACCAGATCCGAAGGACTGCTCAAAATGTCCTGAAGGGCAGATATGTGATGGAGCTGTCCCAGCTTCTCAGAAAGCTTTAGAGATGGAAGAGAAAGTAAAACAACGACTCGTCGAACTCCCTCTCAAGCTACGGGAGTCTGAGAGAAAGGCAGGTTTACACCGAGAACTCTGGGAGAGCTTCTCTATTAAAATGGTTCCTGCTTTGGTTTGGTACTAGTATCAGAAAATAATTTTTGATTGATTGCATGAAGAGAAAACCAATCTGGCTTTCCTCAGCTCCCTATCTCCATCACCAGCTGGTAATTTTAAAGACCATGAGCCTTAATAATAGTAATAATAGTACTATTTAGTTTATAGATTTAAGATCGAGCCCCTCTTATATTTTTCCAGCTCTAACATGCTCATCTGAGAAATATTTTATGGATTCTTTCATAAATTAGGGATTTCCATTTGAATCTATAAATATATGCCCATATTCTAAAATTTGAAATAATAGTTTATATATTGTTTTTGTGTTTTTTGTTTGTTTTGTGATGAAATATCATGTAATAGGTACTTACTATATTACTTGTGATATGAACATGGTTTTCTGAGAATACTGTAAAAAGTCTTAATGTATATTCATTGAATTTGGTGCTGCCAATTCTGTTGAAATTACATTCAACAAGCTTTATAAAGCATGAGAATGAGTTTAAATGAATCCATACACTTTATATCCAATAGATGGTTATCTGAAAATAGTTTGGTTGGAGATTAAATCACAAATTAAGGAATAGTGTCTGGTGCAGGAGTTTGCCCTGCTCCCCTGCATGGTCTACTGATGCTGGCGCCTGTATACCGCAAACTCTCTCCTGTCAGTGAGCCCCAGGGCAGCTGTGGCTAAAATCCAGCTTGCCACCATCAGTGGGTGAATGACTGAATGTAGTGTAAACTGCTTTGGTCAAGTCTCCTGACTTGAAAAAAAGATAAAAAAGTAAAGGAAATAATTAATCATGTTATGGAAATTAATGTAATACCACATCATTACGTATCATTAACTGTAGATTGGCTCTTTATTGCCATAAATCCACCCAAAACTCCTGATCAAATTTTTCCCCAAACCAGTTGTTGCTTCTCAAGAAACCCAGAAGCTGCATTGTAACATCTGCTGACTGTGGGAGGATCCCTACATCTCAGGTTTTGAAGGAAATCTAAAGATTTGTCTCTTTTAAGAAATGCTTTTACTGTTGTAACTGTTTCAGATGCAAGTAGCCCGGTTGGAGGCTCAGTCCACCAAAGACCAGGCCCAAGACCTGCAGCGTCAGATCAGGGAGACCTCTGGATCACTGGAGATGGAGAAAAACAGAACTAGGGAGCTCCTCCAGAGAGTCAAACAATACTTGATGGGTTTGTGTTAACAGGCATACAATCAATTAACTAAACAATATTTTTACTGTGGTATTTGTGTTATTCCTATCACCTTTACAGATCTGTGTTTCAGTGCAGGAAATGTCCTTTCTTAGTTTTACTTAATCTCAAACACGAGAGTGGATAACATCATCAACCCTGGTTTTAATATAATTTGTTAATTATAAATCTGAGCAAACAAAGATTACATGTAGGGCTCCTCAAGGCACCATTCTTGGCCCTTTTTTATCCAGTATGTAAATGCTCCCTATAGCTCAGATTATAGAGTACTTTAAAAGAAGTTTCCTTCCTGGCAGATGAAATGGTTCCTCCAGAGGACATCAAGAAAATGGCCAACGCTGTCCTGAGCATCCATTTGCCACGATCACCTGCTGAGATCCGACGGATGATCAGTGAAATATATAATCTGTTAAACAGTGTGACCAAATTCCCGGATGAACTGAAGAAGTTACAGGATAAAGCTAAAACGGCTCAGGAGCTTCTGCTGAAAGCCACAGAAATCAAGTTAGTGGTTAAAAACACAAAAGCAAGATTATGTAGCGTGGACATGTGATAGCAAGCTTTTGTTCAAAAAATTTTTTTGATAAATCTTTATTTATATTATTTTAACAGGGAGAAGACCAAAAACATCAACGTTGTAGACATCAGCAGGGACCTTTATGCAGCTGAGGAGCTTCAGAACAGAGCCAACGATGACCTGGAGGTTGCGGTTCAGGACAGAGACATGGCGAAAGATCAAATCCAAGAGGTAAATTCAAACTTTTCTTATCTTTACAGCAGTCAAATCATACCTGGTTTATACTGATCACCGTTCTGCCATGTTTTAGATGGAAAACAAACTGGACAGCATTGAGCCTAAGCTGAAGAATTGGCCTTCAGATCTGCAGGAAGAAATCGAAGCTGTGAAGAATAAAACTGAGAAGAACAGAGAGATGGCCAGAGAAGCCAGAGAAGCTGCAGAATCAGCATTTACACTCCTTCCTAATAAAGCGGTAAAATGCGATTAAAGTCTGCAGCCCTTCACTTTAGTACCACTTTATTTCTGACACTTTCTCTGCAACAGGGGCTACAGGACGTTGAGGAGCAGTTTCAGCTTTTAAAGCAAAAACAATTGAATCAAACAATTGGAGGTGAAGCAGCAGATCGTCTGAAGAGAATCCAAGCGGAGGCCGAAGATATGCAGAGACAAATGGAGGACAGACTGCGACAGTTACAAGGTTTTAACCATCAGTCTAACCACCAACAAAGTGACACACTTATTTCAACAGCTTTGAAAAAGGAAAGAAATTACACCACCTGGTGGACAAACTCAAACATTAAAACTTGATGCCTAGCTGTCCTAAAAAAAATCATGACACTAAACATTTCATTTAATGGCCCACATTTGTTTAGCACTTTATTAAGCCAAAAGACAAAAAAATCATTCACTAATTTATACATCATGATGGTAAGTTACACTATAGCCACAGCTGGAACCTGCAACCTAACAAATATATGACAAAGCTCTACCTTCTGAACCGCTGTCACTGTCAATTTGTCTCAACCAGAAAAATATATATAGGCTATATATATGTCATACACCATGAAATATGCAATTCTGGTGTCACAGTTCAGAGAAAAAACAAAATTAAAGCTGGAAGCTGTGGTTCGGGATCTTAGTTTTATGGAGTGATTTTTTTTCCCCATTATTGTTAAAAGCAAAAAGAACATTTTGCAAATAGAAAATTTAAAAAAAAAATAGATAGAAAAAAATATGCAATCTAGAAAAAAAAAAAGTTACAAAAAATATAAATCAAAAAAAGACTTGTAAAGTAACTTTGCGGTTTTCTTCGATTCCATTCCTTTCAAAGTTTAATTGTATTTCTTTTTTTAAGCTTCATTTTTTTCACTTATTTCTTTTTATTTCATTTTATCAAATTGAGTTTTATGTAACAATTTTTTTTTTCAAATTGCGTTTTACAGATCACTTCAAGCCCAATTCAAATGTTGTTGTTAACATCCATGCAGACGAAGAGAAATGCAAACTTAATGAACAAGGTTGAATCTAAAAAATTTAGAAAAAAAAATCCTCTGGCAAAGTGAACCTTTTTTTTGTTCAACACAGCTTGAAAGGATTTGAACTTTATAGAAATGCTGTCTCACACAACAATATTGATGATTATAATTTGTAATGTATCATTTTACATTATTTTCTCCAAGAAAATTATATAAAATTAATACTCTAGGATGTAATGTGGTTAGGATTATAATCTACATTATGTAGATTTATATTTATTGTTTGAGAAAAAAAAAATTTTTTGTCCTAGTTCCAGTCATCCGGCAGTTTTTTATTTACCGGTAGTCAGAAAAAATCTTTAAAATACATCATTAGACGGAATAGAAACTAGATCCAACCAGATGATGTAACCATCATATTAGGACTGAAGCAAAAGAGACCAGAATATGGTTTAAACAACGCAGGTTTATATTCTTGGCAGAAATAGTATGACCCTAAATTCCTATCGGTTTATGTAGTTTAAGAAAAGGAGAAAAAAAGCATCTTGAGAATGTTCCTCCTGCTAAACCATTTTGGCGTACTACTGTGGCTAATATCAGCTCCTGCATTTTAATAATGGGGACTAATGAAAAGGAGGCTGGTTCACATGACCCTAATGTCTTCACAGTGGGTTCTAAATGCTTGAACATTGATTTCTGTGATCCTTTTGGATTAATCACTGTTAATGTTTCCTGTTTATGTGTTTCTGGCAGATGTGGAGCAGAAGATCCAGCAGCTTCTCCAAAGGAAGAATCAGAAAGTAGAGGAGGTGTCCAACCTGCTGAAGATAGTGGAGTCACTACAAAAGGAAATTGCCTCTCGGGCTATAGAATATAGCCGCTGTGCCCCATAAAGACTATAAAACTGAATAAAAATGATTCATTTAGAAGACTCGTCTTTTCATGTTACTTACTTTTAAAAGAAAAATTAGGAATAAATTATATTGGAATGGACTATATTTTTTAATGCAACTTACTAGACAATTAAAAAGAAATAAAAAACAGGATAAAAGAAAAACAAACAAACTACATGTTTTAAAATATAATATTAAATGATAATATCACATGCTAATATGAGAAATTACTTGTAAGCTCTTTGTAAATGAATCTCACCGAGATTAAATATTTTATCTGCCTTTTTCAGATGCTCCAACAAAAAAAACTATCAAGCATATCATCTTTAAAGATACATGTTCTAATGATGTTATGAGGAAACAAAAATATGTTATCAAAACAGACAAAGAAACTATAGATCTGTGTTGCTTTCTTTTAATTGACAGCATTGTACAATGGCACTTTAAAACTAGAAATTGGATGCTTTGGTTTTTTGTCCTTTTTTTAATGATATGATTTCATAAACCTGTAAAGTAAATTAAATCAAGAGGTTATAGTCTTGAACATTTTAAATATGAAGCATCATGACAAAAAGGACAGGGCAGCCATTAAGGTGAAAGTCTCAAACCATCGTCTATCCTAATTCAATCATGATCATTTGGGATACGCTTAGTTTGATGCCTGCTGCAACACAGGAAATATTAGGTTGTGACTCCATATAACATCTATTACTACAGTTCAGTTTTTTTGCTGCATGAATTCAATGCTGTTTTATTCCCTTTTAGGAGAAAAAATCCTATCTGGATCAAAGACTTTTACTTTTTGGGTTTTTCACCTTAAATTTGATCTTTTTAAGTGTTACTTCCTCCTGGTCGATATTCCTGGAGCTTGTCTTTTATACATCTAGTACATTTTGTATAATTATAAGGATGAAGTCTACCCTTTTCTGCCTGAAAGAAATATTGGTATATCTCATTTAATGAGAGAAAAACCCACAATTGTCACAGAAATAACTTGAATCTGACTAAAGTAATAAAAATTCTTCTAAAATGAAAGTCAGACTTTGCTTTTCAACCGTGCTTCAGCAGGATTATTAAGAAAAATACAAATGAAACAGGACTGGACAAAAATGAATGTACCCTTCAAAAAAAAGACTAAAGTAAAAGTGTCCAAAGGGACATGTTAAATAAAGGTGTGTCTACTAATTAGCATCAGAGGTATCTAAAATCTAGTAATTAGTCAGTGTGTCCATATATAGGGCTTCAGGTAGTTACTGTGTTGCCTGGTGACATGGTGTGTACCACACTCAACATGGACCAGAGGAAGTAAAGGAAAGAGTTGTCTCGGGACATTATTTAAGATCCATGGGATTGTAGCCAACCTCCTTGGACGTGGTGGCGGAAGGAAACTTGATGACGAATCAAAGAGACAGGTAATGAGAATCGAAACAAAAGAGACCAGAAACATTTCTTAAGAGATTTAAGCTAAACTTCAAGTTCGAAGAACATCAGTGTTAGATCAAATAATTCAATCCATTCCATGTATGACTTAAGGTTGACTTTATAAGAGATGACCAAGGAGGACGCCGTTGTTGAAAACAAATCATAAAAAAAGCCAGACTGGAATTTGCCACACTGCATGTAGGCAAGTCACAAGACTTCTGGAAGAATGCCCAATGGACAGATGAGACTTAGGTTGAACTTTCTACCAAGGTATATAATCTCTATGTTCACATATGCCCCTCCCTGGGCTGCCACCTTATCTTGGTGGAGGAGTTTGAGTTTGACAGTTACAGGAATCATTTAAATGCACTGATTGACTCAGAGGGTTTTTAACAAAATATTAAATTGAACATCATTTTTGTCCAGGACTGTTTCATGAGTTTATTGTTTTATTATTTATATTCTAATAAAGCCTGTTTGAAAAGCAATGTCTGACTTTCATTTGTCCATTTTCATACAATTATTATTTAATAATACTTTTGTTAGGTTCAAGTTATTTCTGTGACAATTGTGGAGCTTCTATCACTAATGTAGGGGGACCAACAATTATGTTCACGTGTACAGTTTAATAAATCAGTGGAAAGTACTTTTAAGACAGATTTTACTTAGACAGTAGACTGAGATCAAGAGTATATAGGCCTAATTGCCAAGAAAGAACTTATTTTTGCTTTGACTTGTAAACATCAAATCAAAGTCATGACTAGGGGTATGCCATTAAACACAGTAAAAAATGTCTGTTTGCCATTCAGATATCTGCCTTCTCGAACCTTAAATAGCCACTCATGGGACTCTGAAAGTGCATGGAAAGAACTGTAAAGAACTGAGTAAAGAGATTTTCAAGATAATTGACACCTAGGGAAGAGTACATGGCTCAAAAAAATTAGACATCACTTGAACCCTGTCGGAGAAAGTCTCTGGTCTTTCTCCTGGTCTTAAAAAAAAAATTGTCATTTTGGGATCAATGTTCTTTGAATTTTTTCAGATTTAAGGAGCAAATTTACTCAGATCAGTTCGAAGTAAAAGGTGACAACTTTATTACTTTGTCATAAGAGTCTCAATAAAACTCTGGTCTAATCAACAACAAAAAATGATTGCAGCCTGCCAGTATAGAAAACGGAAAACAGCTTTGGGGAAATCATGTCACAGTCAAAGCTGTTTTATTTTGTTACAGTCTTCCCTCTTTCCTACTATTGCGTCATTCTTAAGGATCTAGTGTTAAATCAAGATAATAGCCTTGGGGCATGAAAGTAACTCTAAAATGTGATAAAGGTATTTAAATCTGCCTCAGATAGCTTATTTCCTGCATGGATGAAGCCCTTTATGTCAGAATGTCAGCGTTCAGATAAATTGTGATTTATATGGGATGATTCTGGGTATTTCCACCAGGGGGTACTGTTATTGGCCCCTGTTCTCTTGTGGGGGCTTCACTCTGATAGATAAAAGTAAATTATTTCAAACTCTTTTTACAGTTATCCCCGGCAACTCTGAGGATCAGACATTTGTAATTAGGAATAACCCGGGGCCACATGTTTGAGGGTTCCAGAGAGCTTGGGACCACAGTTTGAGCTTAAATTAGGTGAGCATCGGACTGGGGAACTGAAAGAGACTTTAAAATCCAAACAGAACCACAGATTAGATTTGGATTAAGACTCAACTTTGTTTATCTCTTTGGATTACCCCTTCAGGGAAAATTCTGGTTCCAGTAGCGTATATAGAGTAGAAAAAGTAAAATGCCATTAAAGATAAAAATGCAACAGATAATATAAAAAGAGTTTATAAAAAAGCATATAAAAAGAAAAGAAGTTTTAATTTCCTGGAATATGTTTCCCTTGGAATGGAATATGGAGAGAAATCATATCATTATGTCAACTGAACTGGTTAGGGAAGGAAACACAACAAAGATACAAAGATGCATAAATGATTCCTTAAAAACATTAAACAGAATTATTGTTTTTCTTACGCATACTTTTTTGTTTATCAAACAACAAGAACTTTACAGTAAACACCTTTAAGGGGGACATGGGGGGGCTGAACATCTCTGGGCTTAGTGTGAGTGCAGTGCTTTATGGATAAAGGCTCAACATGTGTCAGCCTGCAGAGGTATCACACACAATTACAAAAGAATTTCAATTATTAATCAGATTAGGGCTCTGTATGAACCTCCATTCATTTCAGCATCTACAGCTGGGTCTAAAACAGCAGAACAGAACCATGATCAGCAGAGGCGTAGCCAGAAAATCCTAATAAGGGGGGGCCAGTCAATAACCAATGAACATCTACACTGTTCCAACAGGAACACGGACAACATCAATATTTTCTAAATAAAGACAAGCTATACTTTCTTGCAGCCTTTGTTAACAAATACACTCATATATTTAAACATCTATGCTGTCTAAATTAAAGGTATAGTGGACAAAATTTTTCAGTTTTAAGTTCTGGGGCAAACATCTTATTCATTGTCATTACTTACTTTTATTAATAATCAATCTTCATAAAACTTATATTTACATGTTGTAATATCCACATTAAATGCATTACTTGTTATTAAAGTAGTTATTTATCTCTGATTTCACTGAAGATCCCTTAGATGACTTGCAGAGACATCATTTTCTCTTTACCCAATATAAGACAAAATCTAGTTCTGAAAAGAGAATGAATTGTGTTATTATCATCTTTAATGTTAGTATATTGATGTGCATAATTAACCGCAGTGTTTTTGTTATCAGGTAATTGTTTATATATGGAAAATTAAAATGTTAAATAAGTTAAAATATTCTACTTGAGAGTATTACTGCTGCCACCGTCTGTATTAGAGGGAAAAAATGGTCGGGGTGGCCAATGATTGGGTTAGGGTGGCCATGGCCACCCCTGGCCCCCCATCTAGCTCCGCCCCTTGTCAAAGGCTGAACTAAAATAGTAGATTTATTGCATGGGGAGATAGAATATAAGCAATTATTTCAAAGTAGTACTTTAATAAATGACTACCCCACCCCCCTCCACAAACACGTTCTCATACATGCCTACTTTGTTGTTGCCAGAGGCGTAGCCAGAAATTTTTTGTAAGGGTGGTCAGGCAATAACCAATACACACTGAGGCGTGGCCGAAAGCGGATAGGCACCAGAACCTCATGGTCAATCTACCCTGTTCCAACAGGAAAATGAACGAGCAAAACATCCATATTTTCTAAATAAAGACAAACTATACTTTCCTACAGCCTTTGCTAACAAATAGACACATATATTTAAACATCCATAAATTATAGATAAAAGTTATAGTGGATAAAACTAAGTTTTGAGTTCTGGGGCATAAATCAACCATCATTGTACTTGTATCAAAAAAGATTCTGCAAAAAATTGATATTTACACTAATATCTACATAAATTGATTATTTTAATTGATTTATTGAAAGCTACAGTGTGTAATAATTACAGGGATATACAGTCAGAAATGTAATATATTATACATAACTATGTTATTTATCATCATCTACGAGCTCAGCCTCTTAACCTTAATATTTGCGTTGCCTTAGAATTCGTTATTTATAATTACATAGGAGCGGGTCTCGCAGCCATGGAGGCAGACATCTTTGCGCTACGGCAGCGCAGAGCCAACAAA